CCCCCCCCGTCTCCCTGGTCTGCTGGAGACCAACAGACCCCAGCAGACCAGGGAGACGGGGAGCAAAGTCACGGAGCACGCGGGCAGCGGACAGCCCAGATGCGCCGCGGCTGTCCCGCTGCCGGCGTCCTCAGAAGCTTTGCTCCCCGTCTCCCTGGTCTGCTGGTCTCCAGCAGACCAGGGAGATGGGCAGCAAACCCTGTTCGTAACTGCGGGGACTGCCTGTACTGATTATCAGTTTCAAGAAAATGATACCCATTGCTATAATCATTCATTCGCATGATTGTCGCCATGCATTTCATCACGTATAATCTGATGAAATTGTCAGTGAAATAAAATTGTACTGCAGAAGAATCTGTATATAAATGTAAATAATTTAAAATTGTGTGTCATTAAATTATCGGGTGAAATATTACGTGGGCTGAATATTTCCTTTTTCTCCAAACAGAATGTTAAACCACACTAAGTCTTTGTTTGGGGAAACCATTGACATTTTTGCTTGTATATTGATATTGCAAATCCATGAAAGAGAAATTTAAATGAATACGAAATGGAAGGAACACACTGTATTATATATAATCCTTAAAATATTAACTGATTCGCTATGGGAGGAAAACCCTAATTTTTTTCCTGAATAATTTCTAAGAAATTAGTACATTCTAAAAATTCAGTGGCATAGTGTAGGTTCATTTATATTTATAATATAAATAATTTAGAAGCAGATATGTTCACTGTTACTGCAGGAACAATACTGGTAACTGCCATTAAAGTTGTATTAGAAGAGTAACAAATTAGATATAAAAACATCATATCATCTTTAAAGAAGATCAGAGGGGAAACATAAGCCATAAAAATATTGAGTTTAATATAGACATTTTTGCCATCTTCCCTCAAGAGAAGTTTAAATTACTATATATTCTCTTGATAACTTGTCTTGAAATATTTCTGTACATTTTTGTTACTTAATCAGTAGCATGGCTTGAAGTATTTATTTTGTTTTATTTATATGAAAGATGGAGAGCTTTATTCGGGAACCTCTTATAACTTCTTGGGGAGTGAACCCATTATTTTTAGAAACTCTCATCAGAGCCCACTGAGAACAGAATACGCAATACCTTGGCTTAATGGTGAGTACACACAAAAGCAATTGAACTAATTTATTTTACTGAAGGCTTTTTTCCTTTAAAAGTTTTAACTCCTTCACATTGCTCTGTATATCTTCACTAAAACCTTTTTCTGTTCCATAAAAGGATAATGGGTATTTTTGGCCTTCTGAAAGTTCAGATCTCTGAGCAAGTCTATGGATATATTTCAAGGGAAAAAAACAATTTTGTGATTGTTCTGAGGTGCTGTTTCTTGCTATATTTTGCTTTTAGAAGAAATTGTTTTTTAATTGTTTGTGATTGTGAGGGAGAAACACTTAGTTTGAGATTTCTAGCGTCTCTGTGGCATTCACTCTGAATCATCTGTAGGGCATTCAAGTTTAGACATGATCCAGAAGCTGTGCAGTATATCCTGTCTCTTTTTATCTTGCTTAGTCATGACAAGCCAGACTATTAGGTGATAAGGAAGAATGTGTCCTTACCTTTCTTTCAGCATGTTTTCAAGTTCAGTTTAAGGACTGCATGAGGTTGCTCAGTTTCCTCTTTAATTTAGAAAATGTATTGGGGTTTGAGAGTATTCAAAGAAGTTTTTGAACTTCTGTAAAAACGAAGGTTAAAAGAGAGAAGTGGCAAAGTCTACAGAGTGTAAATTCAGTCCTGTTAAAAATCCAGGTTCTGGTTGAAAACTGCAGTTCATTGTTGCTTTTTCTTTGTAGGGCTTTTTGTAGTACCATTATCATTTGTAGTGTTTCAGCTCATTGCACACAGAATAGCATTCATGTGTTAGTTGCATCTGTTTGGTTTTTTTAAAAAGAAATTTGGAAACACTAAGTTGCTTTTGGAAGTTGTAATTGAATTAAATCTTAAGTAAATTTCTTCACATTCCACTTTGTACCCAAGGATCTAGTGGCAAGAAAATGATTTTGAACTAAGGATGTTGAGGACTAGTTGACGATCCGATAAGCAAATGCTTTATCAGGTAGTCAAGTCGACTAGTTGCTTCCTCTCTTCTCTCTCCCCCCCACTGCCTCTATCAGATAGAGTCCCCCACTGATCCCAGGTACCATGTGGGCGCTTCCACTTTGAAATACACAAGAGCCCCTGGAGGGGGAAAATCCAACTCTCAAATCCATCTGGCTTGAAGTGGAGGTCCAAATTAAGGATGTTAAATATTAATTTACTAGTCGAGTAGTTGATTGTTTCCATCAGCTAGTCGATAGGCACTTCCGCATTCCTCCTTTGAAATGCACGAGAGCCCCAGCAGGGGGATCTTGAGCATTTCAAAGCGGAAGTGTCTGTGTGGAGCCCAGAGTCAGGGGAACTTCCAGCTGACCCCGGCCTGCACACAGAGTTCCAACTTTGAAATGCACAAGAGCCCCCGCTGGGGGCATTTCAAAGGAGGAATGCGGAAGTGCCTATCGATTATTCAAGTAGTCGATGGAAATTTCATCGACTACTCAACTAATAATTTAATCAATATTTAACATCCTTAGTTTGGACCTCTGCTCCAAGCCAGATGGATTTGTGAGTGGATTTGGTGGAGTGCAAATATGGTTGAATTTATGAAAGGATTTTCAAGAAATGGAAGCTGACCAACCCCTACAGCTTTGATTTTTGGTTCACATTTAGTTAACACAGACCTCAAAGGAGCATGAAGCGTCAGTACTCCACTTTCCCCTTCTTACTTGCATTTTTTCCAGCCAGTCCCAGCAATTGTTGGCAGAGGAGGTGGAAGCTAGTCAGGAAGGTTGACTAGATAGATGATCAAATAAGCAAACATCCTCAGATCATGCTTGTCAATCTATTAGGTGTGGGCCTATGAAATCATCAGATTGCAAACCTATAGCTCCATTCCATGCTGTTTGTCTCAATGTAAATATTCCACACTGCTGTGCTCTCCAGCAGCGGTGTCCTAGAAGGAATTGATGGTCTCAAGAAGAAGCTACTTCTAGGCCTTCTAGCTGGAGGAGTTGTCCACAACATGGTGTTTGGAAGAAAAGATGGCCCTCGAGAACCCCAGAATAATGAAAAAATAACAATGTAGAATGCATCTTTTTATTTGTATCTGTAGAGCCCAGTTTTGTTTTTGCTGATGTGGTGAGAGCAGATCAGAACAGCACCGAGGGAGATGACGACAAAGTGTACTTCTTTTTCACCGAGATGTCTGTGGAATATGAATTTCTTGGGAAGTTGATGATTCCAAGAATAAGTAGAGTGTGCAAGGTGGGGGACAATTTAATAATTGACTTTAACCAATATCTAGACAACATCTGCAATATATGAAAAATGTTTCATATTGTGTTTTATCCATAGCATTTAGGAAGTGTCCAGATCTATTCTTAGCAAATGAAATATTCATATGAGCCCTCTGTATCTAAACATAGTTACTCAGAGAACCTCTTACTGTTTGTGAGAACAAATACTTTTTTTAGCTCCCCCCCCGACTGAAGAGAGTAAGATTTCAGCATATGTCCCAGCTGGAAAAGTGATGATGATGATGATATAAGACTTTTTTACATAGAGATGGTTAGTTTCTTTTCTGTGGTGTGACAGGTGGCACTTAAATGGACAGGTGTCAGAGCCTTAAAGAAAACAGTCACCAGCAACCTGATTCTGTCACACTGAATGTGTTTAAACCTGGCTATTACAGGCTGAGTTGATTCTCTGCTTGTTAGAGCTGACATGAAAATTTTCTAATGGAATAGAAAATGCTCATTATACATTCCAGCAAAAGATTTTGTATTTGTATTGATTTAATCAAAATTGCAAAAACATTTTTCTTAAGGTTAAAGTGTTTTCTACTTTATTGTTTTAATGTTGGTTACATTATTTTAATTTAATTTAAGCACCGGTAACAAATGTTTCCTTTGAAGCGTCTATATTCCAGCTGCTTGAGGCAAATTTACTTTGTTCTTGTAGGTATGCTCTTTTGTCTGTTGATAGTTTATCAATGCTTAAAGGTGAAAGTACTATAAAATTTGGAATAGCTTTTTAACTATCTATTTGGATTCAGTTGCAGATAGTGCATATGTATTCAAGTGCAATCTTAAAAAGAGGGGAAAAAGTACTTGATTGCCTTTTGGAACTAATACATTTTGCACAATAGTCTGTATAGAAGCCTTGAATAAGACGCAAGAATTTCTGGCAAATATTTTGATTTAAGAAACCAGCTTTTAAAGATTAATAGCACAACTCAGGTTAGAGATCCAGAATATTGTGAAACTTCTTGTAGTCACTGCACAACTAATTTTATTTCTGGAAATACAGTCTAGGTAGTTGGAATGATCTTACTTGTTAAGGTCTAAATCCTGCAAATTCTTATTCATGGTACTTATCCTAATTTCAGGATTGAGCCTTTTGAATTAAACAATACATTTATGTTTGCCAGACTATCTTAAGTTAATAACATTTTGAAGTAATCACAAAATAGACACAATATTCTCTCTTATATAAGAACAGTTATAATAATGAAATATTGTGTAGGTTTTTTAAAGCTCTATGCTCGGCTCAATTTACTGCCTGTTGTTTTAATACAGTTCTTTGAGCCTTTCATATGTCTCATCTTCCCTCCAGAAAATCTGTACTGAGACTTCAGCAAAGCTACTACAGATCTGCACAACCTAACTGAAATTAGCATTTGGCCCTCTAACACTAATTTATGTGCTGAAAGAAACCACTGAAGTCATTAGAAGACTTCTTATATCCAAAAATCTCGTCAGCATTGTTAAGTTTGTTGTTGCATCTTTTAATTGTTTTCTGTGCATTATATTTAAAAAATTATTTGTGACTATTCAGTTTACATTTTAGAAAATACATACCAGAACCAATAGACATTATAAATGTTGACCCTTTATTTAAGAAAGAAAATATGCCTTATGTTTTTCTTCTTTTTCCCTCAACCCCTCTGAAAGAGGGACCAAGGAGGATTAAGAACTTTGCAGAAAAAATGGACCTCCTTTCTCAAAGCCAGATTGATCTGTACAACACCCGATAAGAATTTAATTTTCAACATCATCAATGATGTTTTTATTCTGAAGTCCCCAAGTCTGCAGGAACCAGTGATTTATGGAGTTTTTACCCCACAACTGTGAGTATCATTTAAACTTGTCCCAGAAATGTAAATCTCAGTTGGTTTACCACCCCGCAGTAAAATGCTAACGTTTTCCATTGTTTAATTTTAGGAATAATGTAGGACTCTCTGCAGTGTGTGCTTATAGCTTATCTACTGTAGAAGAGGTTTTCTCCAAAGGAAAGTATATGCAAAGTGCCACGGTCGAACAGTCTCATACAAAGTGGGTCCGATACAATGGGGAGATACCTAATCCTCGACCTGGAGCTGTAAGTTTGAATAAACTCAGAATGACAGCAGTTCCTTTTCTCTTCCACCTAAGGAAAAAAAAAACTATAAAAATTCAGGAAAAATGGTAGAAAATATTAACTTCGGTTAATATATGTGTCCTGATGCAGATACCTTTTCTTTTACTCACTGTTGTATTGCCACCTGATCTTTATGTTTTGTATCTAGCTACCAAGTGTTTTTTTTTTTAATAGTACAGAGTTGGTTTAGATCACTATCTTCATAGTCAATGTTCATTTTTCAATTTTTGAATTGTCTTATAATTAAATTGGTACAGTAAATGATGATGATGTAAAAGGTATTATAGATCAATAGAAAGACACTGTGTGCATCATCCTGCAATCCTTTGTTTTGTGTCATCTGATTGCTCACTCGAAAGCTCTACTCGCAGTAATTAGTGTTTATATGATTGGTCTTTACCATTCTCTTTTTCTGCTTTCATATTAGTTAATTTTACTAACATGGTACATTGACTGTAGCTTAGACCTGGATGGAGGTTTTATACATACTGATATGTTCACCGATTTATTCACTCATCCTTCTACAAATTGAGACCGAATTTTTTGCAAGTTAGGAAGCTATAGAATATGAGTATGCACCTGAAAATAATGCTGAGAAGTATGTTCAGTTATGTTTGAGTTTTATTATTTACAGATATCCTTCCATAGCTTTAGCCAAGCAGCTTCTTTCAAAGATATATTAAGCATTCTTTTTGGAAGTTATACACTAAATACATGACCCATCGCAAAGATGGCCCAAATCATACTGTGTTGTCAAGATCTTTTTTAAAACAACTATCTTTTGAAATATTTCTCTATTTTATTTAGTGCATGCATGTGTACCTGGGAATTCAATGTGAGGAGTTAGGCTATGCAATGGGGCCCATGTTCCTACAGTGTTTTATAACTTTGAAAACATATGTTTGGAAAAAAGCAGGGGTATCTGCTGTCAACAGTGTACAATATGGTAAAAAACAAACGATCTCTTTGTTCTTCCCTCAGTGTATAAACAAAGAGGCAAAAGCAGCAAACTACATGAGTTCTTTAAATTTACCAGACAGAACACTACAATTTGTTAAAGACCACCCTCTGATGGATGACTCAGTGACCCCGATCGGGGACAGACCCAGATTAATGAAAAGAGATGTGAGGTATACACAGATCGTAGTAGACAGAGTCTCAGCACTCAATGGCAGTGTGTACGATGTTATGTTTATTGGTACAGGTGAGTTTGCATTACACTATTTTAATTCTCTGTTAGTACAGTATGGTGAAAGGTACTGTCAGCAAACAGAATGAACACTTACAATGCTTTCATACCAATTAGTGTCCACTCTTTTTAAAAAGTATGTGCCAGGATGACTAAATGGCCAATCTTGGTCCATTTAATAAACAAACAGAAAAAATCCCCACAAACAATTTAACTGGAGATGTGCTGGGGTCTCCCAAACTGATCTCCTTAAGCTTTTTTTGTGTGTGCAAAGCAGATCCCTGTATCAGCAGCAGGAGGGGAAAGGCCAACAACAGTAATATTGGGCAACTGCTGTTTCAGTTAGCAGCAGCCGCCTATAATGTACTTCTGTTTGTCCCTGCTTCCACAAGCAGTATGAGAAGGGATTGAAAGAAGCTTAAGGAAGCAAACAAGCCCTAAGTCTTCCTGATGGCAGATGGAAACTGGTGGGGAGCAGGTAGCTCTGCAGGAAGGAGATCAGCCTCTGCAGAGATACAAATGGGTCAGGAGTAGGGGAAGTTCCGGTCTATTTCTCTTCTTCCTCCTCTACCCAGGTGTCTCCAGTGACTGCTATGTGAAACAACAGACAGTTTTATCTTTAGGTACCAAGTTCTGTCCCGCCTGCTCATGCACTTTTAGAGGAGATATGTAGAAGGGCATCTACCTGTCAAAAGAAAACGTTTGTTAAATCTAACATCAAAATAACTGAAAAGACTAAGATTAGCCATTTGACAATCTTCTTTTAAGAGTATGAATTTAAAGAGTGGGGAAACTCCCAATTTAAAACCAACGACGACGAAAAGGAATGCTTTGGTAGTCCAGTATTCATCACAAAATTGGCATTTCTAATTTTAAAAAGGGTCATTGGTAAACCTATGAAACTGAAAGGGTAGTTGAATAATTTACAGAAATCTGAATGTTTTACTGAAAGCTACAGAGTTAATTCACTTTTTTGTAGTTTCATGTTTGACTTGTGAGAGACACTCCTCTTCCTTCCTCCAGTTAATTTCCCTGGAAAGCCTTTTTGTAATGCTAGCAAAGGGTGACTTTAAAATGGCACACCATAAAGGCACAGTTATATTAATAGGTTTCTGCAACTTAGAATCAGTTATGACCCACACCTGGGGCATTTTCATGCTCTGTTGAATTTAAACTGATTTAATTTAATTTAAGCTCTTTTGACCTTCGATGCAAAGATCACAATTACAAAATATTATAAGTACATATTAGTTACTTGAATCAAAATGTCCCCACATTTGAATTTCAGGAGAATAAAAATTATATTTATATTATATACATATTGACATGATCAGAGCTTGACAAATGGCGGTGAAATCTACTTGCCAGCCCCGCACTGTGCATGTACAAGACCCACATTGTGCATGCACGTGCTGCCGCTGAACGAGGTGACCGGCTGAAATCTACTTTCCATGGGCGAGAAGAAACAGCAATTTGTCGAGCCCTGGTCATGATAAAAATGTGTCTCATTTAATGCTTAACTTCCCCTGTTAGATCTGGATCTATGTCCATTTTAGAGGGGTCCTTCCCTTCTCCCTATCTGCCTGACCTAACCAAACTTTCATGAATAGTTTTAATTAACTTGCCTTCTCTGGTACAAAATAAAATAGCGAAGCAAATCCAATTAGGAAATGAATATGCCACACAAGAAGATTGGCTTAGTTCACATGTAATAAAGATAAGTGATTTAAGGTTAAAAACCAGTAGAGAATGGGAATTTTAAAAATACAGAAATAGATACTCCAGAGATTTAAAACTGGGAGGCATGGATCATATTCAACAAGACTCTAGGCGTTCTGGGACAAAATAGAATTTTAAAATGAGAAAATCCTTTGTGCTTTTAGCACAATACACCATCACTTAGTTGCCAAATTGGCCTGAGCATATTTTGGCATGGACTCAGTTCAGTTGGTGTTATCAATTCTTTCCCTTTGTTTTCCATTCAGATTTTCTACACTTTCTTCCACAGTTGTGCTACGTGGACATTTTTTCTTTCTCAGTACAATAACATGATCCTGGCAAACTCAGTTACAAGTCCAGCAATTATGTTTGGCTCAGTTGTTCAAATTACAGTTTGTGCTAAGTATTAACAAGTTTTGCAATATTTTGTGTTTCATACTGAACATTGAAGTTCCAGGATTTAAGTGAGAGAACATAATTAACGGAACATTTAAAGGGCTGCACTGGAGTTTTAAAAAAAATCAAATTTATAGCTTTCACATTGCTATTTAAATTTAAAATATTATCAATTAAATGCTTCCAGCAAAATTGTACCATAGATTTTATAGAACAGTTATGATGGTTAACTGCCAAAAGTTTTCTAAGGCATGGTTCTTTTAGTCTGGTCTAATGGCTAAATCATAGGGATGGATATGCTAGAACAGTGGTCCCCAACCATTTGGGGTTGCCGGGCGTCAGGGGGCGTGGCCTGGGGCTGGCGCCCCCCCCATAGCCACACGCCCAGAGCCGACAGCCCCCAGAGCTGCGTGCCCGGGGGCGGGGAGGCCAATTTGCCACGCGCCCAGAGCAGAACCCCCCATAGCCATGCGCCTGGGGGCGGGGTGGCCAATTTGCCACGTGCCTGGGGCTGGCGCTCCCCATGTGCCATGTGCCCGGGGTTGGTGCCGCATATGTGCAGCACGCCTGGGGCCAGCACTACGCATATGCCATGCGCCCGGAGCGGAGCCAGTCCCAAGCACTTGGCAGGCGCACACAAATGCGGGCACCGTGTTGGGGACCACTGTGCTAGAAGGAATATGATTTAAAATGAAAGCATGTGAGTTGGACAGGAAAAGGTCTGGGTTCTGGGTTCAGCTTCTTACATTTTAGTTGTGGACTTGGTTACTAAGTGTGACCCTGAGCAAGTCGTTTAGGATTTAATCCTATGGTTGGTTGAAAATTTTCCATTGTAAACTTTAATTTTGTTTATGAAAAATTGAGTTTTTGACTAAACATTTTTGGGGGGAATGTCTACTTGTCTAAAAACTTCTGATTTTTTTCCATTGCCTAACATTTTTGGGGGGAATGTCTACTAGTCTAAAAACTTCTGATTTTTTTCCATTGCCTTTCACCCTCCCCAAATACAATTTTCAGATTTGGGTATTTTTTTCCCCTAAAAGCCAAGAATTTCCACAGGAAGAAAACATTTTTCGGTGTTCTGTTTCATCCTTCTGCTGTTAAAATCAACAGAAGTTCTGCCACTCTGGCTATTAAACTGTTTGTGCATTATTTCCTCTCTTGGTAAAATGAAGATTGAAATACTGATGTTAGTTGGCTGTCATGGGGCCTGATTTGTTCATATTTACAGTGTACTTCAATACTGTCTGATGGAAGACAAAGTATTATCATGCACGAAGTCTTCTAGTGAAGATCATTGATGCAAGTTATAGCAAACACATTTCACACACTGTCCTTTGAGGTTCTTACTAAAGTGTATATTGCTTGGTTGTTTCAGATAAAGGAGCCCTGCACAAAGCTATTAGTTATGAAAATGGAGTGCATATTATTGAAGAAATACAGCTTTTTCCAAATTTTGAGCCAGTTCAGACCCTGTTGCTTTCATCAAAAGAGGTAAGCAGCACTGTGTGAAGACATTATGTGGGAGATTTTTTTTTAAGGTAATTCCCAGTAATATGAAGAAAGAGAAAAGGACGTGTTGGAAAATGTGACTATCAATGAAATAATACTCAGAATATAGGATATAGCCTGAGGCCATAACATCGTGTCCTGTGCAACTGTCTGACATCACCAGATAAGGAGAGTCAGGCTGTTTGGTATGTGGATGGGAAGCTTCTAAAAGCAAATGCCTAGGTAGTGAAGCAAGATATTAGTGTTTCAGTAGGTTGTATTTTTTCTCCCTGAATCTGTACTAGAACCAATTCCCCAATGTGATGTTCCTGGAGTTACCCATTTTATGAGTAGATGTAGAGCACAAGTCATTTTCCGTTATGGAAAAATTCTATAGAATTTCAGAGAAGGGTATGCTTTCAACCAGGGCTACTCAACTTTGGAAGCTCCGGGGGCCACAATGATACTCTCAGCACATGCTGAGGGCCGCAACTTAAGTGTGGTTGCACATACATGCAAATATATATGCAGATATATGCAAACAGCTTCTTTCACACTGACGGCCATGAATACAAAGATTAAGACTAGACTACACAACACGCAGACCCCATTTAAGTCAGTTCTGCTGATATTAATAAAATGCAATATTTACCTGATTTGCACTCATATGACAGCACTTTTAATGAGCAATGACAGTCCAGGAATTTAACTACTAAAACGCATATCAACAGAAGACCATTATATTGACTACTTTTTTGTTTTGGCTCCCACATGGGTCATGTATTGAGCCCTGCATAAACCCAAACTGCACCTTGGGCCGCAAATAAATGGGCTACAGGCCGTATGTGGCCCACGGGCCATGTGTTGAGTAGCTCTGCTTTAAACCAACAAATAGTGTTGTGTAGCAGGGATGTCATCCTGCAAATTTTATAGATAATAATGTTTCCTTTCTATTAGCTTAAATTCTATCAGACTTTAAGTGGATTTGTCATGGGCAGGGCTCGACAAATGCACTCGCCTGTGGCGAGTAGATTTTATCAGTTGGAGAATGCAGGGGCGGACTGGCCCGGTGGGCAGTTGTGACGGGCTGGCCAAAGCCCGCACTACGGGCGGCGTGGCCCTATCCCGCCGGGAAGGGGAAGGCACAGTCATTCTCCGCGTTGGGCTGCCTGTGTGCAGCTCTGGTGCAAGGAGGCGGGGCCAGAGGGGGATGCTGGCAGACGCCAGGACGCTGGTGTGACATGGCCCCGCTGATTTTAAAGGGCCGCAGCAGTTCGGCTCTGGCTGCGTGGCCCCAGGAGCTGACTGCGGCGCAGCCAGGCCCCACCCTGCCAGTTCCAGTCCTGCCATGGCCCCAACCCCTTTGCCAGTGAGAGACTGCTCCCGGCCGACCACCCAGCTCACTGCACCTGTCCCGTGCCGCCCTTTCCCCACGCCACCCGTGTACCCCCCCACTGTTCCCTGCACCCCTCTGGCTCTGTGCTGTCCCTGCATCCTGTTTCCCCTGTGAGTCGGGAGTGAGGGGTACTTGTCCATAGGGAGGGGCTGGACAGGCCAGGGAAAAGGCTGTTGTAATCCAGCAGGGAGTGAAAGGGGAGCTCGCTTGAAGCGCCTTTGCCTTTATGGAAAAAAACAAATGAAAATTCTATTTGCTATGTATAAGGCTAAAATGCCTGGACAAAAATGAAAACAAACCAAAAAAAAAAAAAAAAAAACCCCATTGCAAAATGCAAATGTGTAAAAGACAACAAAAAAAGGGGGGAAAGAGAGCCAAAAATGTTTTGCTTGGGGCAGTAAAAAACCTAGAGCTGGCACTGGGGGAGGGGAAGGGGCTGGACTACACTGTGGGGAGGGGAGGGGAAAAATATGGGGAAGGGGCTTGTGCTGAGGGGAGGGGAGGAGGTCAGGAGAAGAAGATGATGATGATAGGGGAAGGCATCAAGGGACGGGGTGTAGGAGAGACAAATCCCAGGGGGCCAAGTGCAGACAGTGAGGTAAAGGGCAGGAGGGGAGGTGTCAGTGTCAGGGGAGACAGGGTGATGCCGGGAGAGGAGAGAGTAAGGGCACTGGGGGCTAGAGGGGGCAGGGGAGGTGCTGGGAGAAGGCTAGAAAGAAGGGGGGGGATGAGGAAGGCAGGGATGGAGCAAGTAATGAGTGAGGGCACAGGGGCATGAGAGGAATGGGGGCAGAGGGTGGTGAGGGGGTGGGCATCAGGGAAAAAGAGAGCAAAGGGGGCAGGGGCAGTGAGGGAAGGGGGGGCACCAGAAGGGTGCAGGTGCAGAGGGATTCTGGGGGTGAAGCAGAAGGACAGTCACCTGCAGGGGAGGGACCATCACTAGAGGAGAGAGGCAGGGCAGGGGGGGCGAGGGGGGTGTCAGGAGAGGGGACGAGGATCTGATCAGAGTGGGGCTACTGGAGGAGTGGGCACAGGGGGGAGAGAAGGGCTGGTGGAGGGGGGCAGGACTCAGGAAGGCTGAGGGCAGTGAGAAGGGTAGGAGTCAGGACAGCAGGGGAAGGTGAGGGGCAGCAGGCACCAGGGGAGCTAATGGAGCAAGGGGAGGAGACATGGCAGCAGAGGGAAAAGGTAGAGGCTTATAAGATAATTTATTAATAACTTATTAGTAATTACTGTTCTTATTCTTATTAGGAATTTATGCTATTAAAAAAACACTTTTTGGGGGGGAGAGTGGCAAGTCCCTGTTTTGTCTGGCGAGTAGGGTTTTCCAGAATTTGTCAAGCCCTGGTCATGGGAATAGGTTTTAATTCCAGTTTCCTGGCAACATACCAGCATAGGTCATAACATTCTGCCTACTGAAATTCCCTTGCTGTTCCAACTGAGAAATAGATTTTTCGCTGCATGTCCTAAACTCTAGTGTAGTTTTGCTCTGTACTGCTAAACAGTTGCTGAGTGGTTTTCTGACAGATTTGATGATGATTCTTCATGCAGTGTGCGCACTAATTAGGTATTGGGTCCTGCAAATCTTTACTTGTGTGTGTAATCTTTACCCACAGTAGTAGTCCCATAAAAGTCAGTGGAATTGCTTGCATTTGTCATAATTTTAGGCTCCTTGGAAATGAAAGGCTCTTTATAAATGTAGGATCATTATTCTAACATTTAGCATTTTGTGATGAACTAGTGCTCATAGACTAGTGACTGGGGAGGCTACCACTGTATTTGAAAGACAAGTGCTGAGTCTGATAGTTAAGTACATTTTGCTTGTCAGCAGGACTGTGTCTTTTCCACAGAGCCCTGAACACTACTTTTTCCAGCATTTCGTCAGTGGAAAGCTTTTCTGTTGTTCAGGAAGATGAAGAGGAACTTTGTAAATTCAGAGAGCCCGCTTTTTTGTTTTAGTGGATGGGTCTGCAGTGTAATAAAGCATTCCCAGTCCATAGGTTCCTAGTTAATTGTCCCGTACCCTACATATATACAAGTAGAATTTCAAAAGCAATATGAGGTTTCCACTCTCAAAAGAAATGTAATGAAAAAAATTCTTTTCTTACTCAAATTATTTGAGCGATAAGAGCTAATGTAATGAAATGGGGCATATAAATGAGAAACTGTCATTTTAAAAAAATCCTTTTAATTATATATTTAAATGCCTTTCCTTTTCACTTTTGCCTTTATGATTTTTGTTGAGATGTTAATTATTTAAATAATGCAGTTAAAATAGTTCCCTGAAAACAGCCTCCTAATGTGGCACTGATAGAAGCTAGCAGTGCTAGAAACTGTTAGGAAAGAGAGAGAAATAAAACAAAATATACAACATGCCACTATATAAATCCAAGATATGACCACACCTTGAATGCTGTGGGCAGTTCTGGTTGTCCCATCTCAAAAGATAATTGGAAAAGGTGAAGAGAGAGGAAACAATAAATTTCTTGGGGAGGGAAAGCGCGATAGCTTGGTGGTTTGAGCATTGGCCTGCTAAACCCACGGGTGGTACTTGGTCCTGCTGTGAAGGCACTGGACTTGATGAACTTTCAAGGTCCCTTCCAGTTCTAGGAGATAGGCAATCTCCATTAATTTTTTTCCTCTTGTGTTCTGCCTGCACATCCTAAGAATTTGGTTAATTAATATAATGTGTTTGTTACATGATTTCCTGTGTGATTGTGGACGGTTTCTCTCTGTTACATCCACAGGGAAAAAGAGATCTCTACGCAGGTTCCAATTCTGGTGTGGTTCAGTCTCCCATTGCATTCTGTGACAAGTACAGCACTTGTATTGACTGTGTTCTAGCTAGAGATCCCTACTGTGCTTGGAAGTCACGTGAAGCTTCCTGTGTTAATATTCTTAAAGAAGGTGAAATTGAAAGGTAATAGCACTTGTTGAGTCTTCTGTGATTAGCAATAAGAGATTCTACATTTGTCGTTTAGATAGTCCCTGAAAAGATTATGTAATATTGATACATTTGTTACCTTATTAATCATTTATAATGGTTTTAATTTTAAAAAGTCCCGTTGACATGAATGACCAAGCACACTATTGCAATTTACTTACATTGTGTGCATGTATCATATTTATAACTTTAAACACTGACTTTCCTATTAGTTGACTACAAGATGATATGATTGTCTGCCTAATTTAAGCTTCGTCATTATTCTGTTCTATTTAAATGTGTGTGTGGAGGGGGAGAGGTTTGGAGGGAGCGGTGAGGAATATATGATTTCAACTTCTAATGCTTGATTAATTTGTATAGGGATTGGATTCAGAACATAGCTGGTGATGCCTCTTCTTGCCCTGGTAAGATTTTTGGTTTTTATAAAAGCGATTTAAAAAAAATAATAAGTAATGCATTTCAGTTGTCAGATTTATTCAGCTGTTTTTGTATTTTTATTTATCATTGTGCATTCCCATTTCATGTGTGTCAACTTACGGTTGTTGTTTTTTTAATTTGTGTATCTGCAGTATACATATTATCTTATAATGTCTGTATTGCTAGGCATACATTGCATAGTGTTACACTCAGTGTACTAAACAATAAAATGAACCTGGGCCACGGAAGCTCTGCTTATGAAAGAGAATGGTGTTTGCCATAAGGAATTAGAGTCCTTAATTACATTCGATACGTATTCGGTCACTTGAGAATTCTAATGGCAGTGTAAAGAAATATCTGATTATTATTGTTAGAGCAAAGAAAATGATCTTCAGACAAATTGATTTATGGTTGGGAGAAAGGATCAGAATACAACAGATCAGGTTTCTAGAGTAGCTGAAATAATGCTCCAGAGTATTGACAGCTCAAATAGCCACAGCTTTTCCTTTTCTGAAATGTGTGTGTTGCTATCATGAGATCAAGGAATCCTGGGGGAGCAATAGGATTCCAGGAGACTCACACTACAGTAGTAGAGGCTTTCAAAGGGTTTACTTGACCATGTTTATTATTAAATCAAGCACTGTATAGGCCACTATAAGAATGCTGCTTGCTAATTAATTAGTTTTATCATGTTGTATGTGTTGTGTATATGAGTTCGAGGTTTTTTTATTGTGTTTTTTGGAATTAGATCTGTGGTCCAGGCAAGCAAGGCATGAGGGACCTTTTTTGGATGATAGGATGTAAAAGCAGGCTGGGGGTGGAAGGTCTGGGAGGTATGGTGTAAGAGGGGTCTTGGTGTGTAAGGGATTGGGGTGCCTACCTGATGCAAATCTCGGTCAATCAGAGCAATGGGAAGCAGTGTCTGCAGAGAGCGCTTCCCAGCAGCACACAGATACCCTTCTTTCCCCCTGCCAGGCAGAGAACCCAGGCTGGATGCTGTCCCAGCTTGTCTGATCAGCCAGGAAAGGTTCAGGCCTCCCTCCCCACTGCAGGGAGCCAGTGCTAGCGCTCCAGCCACGGCATGTGTACACACAAACACACACACACACACACACATGCGCAAACGCTCATGCACAGCTGGAGCACCAGCACTGGCACATCACTGCAGGGGTCAAGCGCCGAGTCTTGCGGGCTGGATCTGGCCCACAAGCTAAATTCCCCACCCCTGCTCTAAGTCAATATCCTGGCAGTCTGTAAAAGTGATTAGCATTAGGTCCTTTGGGTGTAAAATGCTCCTTAATAGGCTGAAGAAGTTAGTGTAAATTCTAAAGCCTGAGGTTCTATATCCCTCAAAATCTTCAGTATTTCTGGCATAGCTGTTGTGTGGTGGCTTGTTCAGGCTTTCATGGCCTTGGGGCTTGTCTACATGTCACTGTCGTCTGGACTATGTGGGTATGACCTGCAGAGCACTCTAAAATGTTGCTCTCTGACTTTCCAGTGTAGACCCTGATGGCATGAACTAAAATGTATCTAGTTTGTGATGATGTAATCCTGTTTCAAACTGAGACATAGAGGTGAACTTCAAAGAGTAAACTATATTTCCAGTATGACTAGCAGAATCATTAAATGATAAGGATTAATGCAAACAAAAATCATTGCTGATACTTTGCACATTTATTTTGATGTTCCAGATAAAGTAAGAGAGCATTCTCTGCAGCATACATTCAAGCATGGGAGCACAGCAGAACTGAAATGTTCTCAAAAATCCAACCTGGCCCAGGTAGTTTGGAAATTCAAAGATGATGTATTGAAAGTTGAGCGCCCCAAGTATCGTCTTCTGGAGAAAGCACTGCTCATTTTTAATTTATCAGAAGGAGATAGTGGCATTTATCAGTGTTTGTCAGAAGAAAAAGTGAAGAATAAGAATTTTTCTCAAGTGGTGGCTAAACATGTTTTGAAACTGAAAAAAATCCAGCCTAGTACAGTGGGCCCAACCCAGACAGCAGCACAGACAGAAGGTAATACTGATGTAGCAAAAATGTCAACTGTACCAACAGAAGGGTCGACTGCTCAAACTTCGACCACCCAGATTATACCAATAACAACAGGAAAGATAATAACAAAGCCAATTGGCCCCATCCTAACAAGTGCAGACTCCAGTCTTGAAATCTTCAATTCTGTTCCTGACGACGTCCCTCAAAAGACATTGTTCTTAAAGTCAAATGATAATTTCCTTTTAATGTTTCTCTTTCTGTTCTTTTTTATTCTCTTCCTAAGTCTGTTGTCCTACAACTGTTACAAAGGGTATTTACCAGCCCAGTGTTTGAAATTCCGCTCTGCTATGTTATTTGGTAAGAAAAAATCCAAATCAGATTTTTCTGATTGTGAGCAAAGTGTAAAAGAAAATCTTGTGGAGCAAGGCAGTATCCAGAATCAAAATGGAGAGCAGCCAAAGCCAGCTCATGACACTGGGTATGAGACTGAACCAGACTGTGGAAATGGTCAGATTCAACATGACAAGGACTCCTTACAGGCTCACAAAGAAGTCAAGGACAAGCCTTTTGATGTTAAGTGTGAACTAAAATATGCAGATTCAGATGCAGAGTGTGACTGAAGGAGAAATTCCTCCACTTCAATCATTAAAATAACTGTTTTTTACAGCTAATTATTTGAGCACGGATACTTTGGATGTGACAACTTAGCCATAGAGGCTTATGTGCGTTTAAATGAGTCAGCGTGTCAATTTCAAACCTCTCTAGAGTAGAAAACAATGTTTTGGTGTATCCACTAATTGTATTTGATGTTTTTTTAAAAATGGCCAGTGGCAGATCACCATTTGTTTGTTTCAGGATCTTTCAGAGTACTTTTAACATTTGCAAATACAGTTACTGATTTATTTAATCCCCTTTTCTTCTTCTATAGAATAAAATGACTCTAATGCAATCAACTAAATAAAATACTTCCCGTCTGCACATACTTTAGCTGCCATTTAAAAAAAAAACTAATTTCCTTTTAATTCCAAATTGGAAATGAAGTTTAGTTTATCAGATTGGTAAATTATAGCATTTTGTCCAGATTGAGACATTTCTTTGATTCTAGTGATTCTTAATCTGAGTATAATGTTTTGTGTCTTTTGGCAAGTTGGGTAGCTTTTTGGTTTAATTTTTTTTTAATTTGTTGTTTGTATATCTTTTAGATTTAAATGTACATTGGGAAAGAGCTGGCTTGTTTTGCTTAAGATTCTCAGGGATAATCTTTGCTTTAAGCGCTATCTTTTTGCTTTTTAGAAACGTAGGTACATTTGAGTACACAATGTAACTTTTGCTTTCTAGAAACGTAGGTACATTTGAGTACACAATGTAATTTTGTGGGGATTGCAGGAGAATAGGTAAGATTAAAAAAAACTAAGATGGACACCATCGTATTCTGTTTCTATATGAAATGGGACTTAATTTCTTTTAAAAAAAAAAAGAGTGACATAACACAGGAAGAATTTGTCACTTAACCATGAAGCTTAAGGGGGTAGCTGAGTTAGTCTAAAAAAAAAAAAAAAGTGACATAACACAGGAAGAATTTGTCTCTTAACCATGAAGCTTAAGGGGGTAGCTGAGTTAGTCTGAAGAAGTGGTCTATGCCCACAAAAGCTCAAGATACCATCTACATGTTTTCTTAGTCTATAAAGTGCTACCAGACCATTTGTTGTTTTTTAAGTTTATCTCTTAACCATGTCACTCAGAGAGGATTTTGCACTGTGGAACTGATACAGAATTAGAAGAATTTGCTGTAATAACTGGATAGGGGTAAACTTGCTGCAATAGATAGCTGAACAAGAAAAAAAACTTGCATTTTTTTTTATTCAAAAGTAACTGAACTTCTCCTTAATAACAAAGCCTTTACAATTTTTCACTATTTCTGGATAACATCTACCAATCTTGTATGCAACTGGAGACTGAAACTGGAGTTGCTCAAAATAATTGGCTAGCTGAATTGTCATGTGACTCACTTGCAAGTGAAAAAGCGCAAGCATTCTAAACCTAATTCATGGCAGCACTATTTATCTGTAAAAGTTTTTTGTGCGGTACAGTTTAAGAATTGTTTCTTCCATAATGTCTTTCTATAAATGTTGTTAGAAATAGAATGGTAATGGTAAATAGCAGCATGGCTGCTTTTTGATGTTGTTTTTTGTTGAACTCTCATTCAAACATAATATAATTTAGTTCATCTTAGTGTAAACAGTTTATATTTTATAAGATTCAGTTTGGTTTTATTTTTCTATTTTAATTATGTACATACAAAAAGCAACAGAATAAATATTAAAATAAATTGTATTACATCCTTGATTTTGAACCAGCTTACAATAGAAAAACCCCTGTGAATACTGAAAAACCTAAAGTTGTGGTTTTCTTTAAGAGGAACAATGAGACTTCTGTAATGGATTTCACATGGGTATTTCCTCCAGTGTTAAATTTGGGGAAGAGTGAATAGAGCTCATTTCTAAGAGTCTAGTGATTTTCATTTGTCATCCTTCTAAAACTCATTTGTCCTTTTTGCATTATTTCTTCAGTGTGTTATATATTTCTTACAACTTTTTTCCTTAGCACTCTCTCTTTTCTTTTCTGTCCTCTTCTGTGTCACAGCCTCATCTCCTATACCTTTCCCTCCTACTGGTACCTCCTTTTTGTCCTGTGTGGGAAGTGATTCACCTCCTTCACCCACCAATACCATGCCCGATGTTTGGTCTAGCACAGAGCTTGTAATGGTCATGTTGTTACCACCTTTCCTAAGTGACCAGGCACAGCATGTTAGTGTCCAGGGATCCTTTCACCTCTTCTGTCAAGCCACTGGTAAGTAAGAAGACCCTCTGTAAACCAAAACTTTCTTCATTGCATATTTTGTATCCATCCTCATGTCCTGATTAATACATGTGATGTGGAAGATGACCATCAATGGCAGTTTAAGGATGTGTCCTGAAATCAGTGGGTATTTAGTATCTTTCAGGATTAGGCACAAATTCTGTACTACAAATACCTCTGCCCTAACCCAGATACTTTAGCATGGGCTTATCATTAAGCATGTAATAGTCCCTTGACGTTTATTAAATTATTCATGTGCTTAAGTAGTTTGCTGAATCATGGCTTTACATATGTAAAAATTATCTTACATGAATACACATTTTTCATTCCCATAGTTCATATAACCTTCCCCCCTCTATTATGTCATTTTACTGACCTGAATTTATTTGAGTTGAACATTACGTAGACTTGACTAGTTATTTTTCATGTTTTTTGGTCTGGTAAAATTCTTATTATTTACTATCTTTCATTTCACAGTGTATATCAGCTGAGAACTATAATTCTGAGGCCAAAGTTATTTTTCCCCCCTGAAATGTATAGTTTCTCTTTAACAGGCATTTGGTACAGAATTTGACTTGTTTTGAATACTTAAACACCTTTACTACCTAATTTGAAGAAGAGATTCGAAAGCGTCTGGTATACTGCTAACCTTAGAAATAAGGCATTTTTTCATGTTGCTGTCCTTCTGCATATGTTTCACATTTCTTAATGGACAACTTTCAGATTAAATATGGTTAAAATATTTTAGATTTTGTAAAATAAACCTTTATAAAATTGAAGGCCATACGTCCATAAGTTAAAAAAATTAGTAGAAACCATTTAACAAACATTTCTTTTGGCGTTTGGTGTAGAAATATTGTAGCAAGTATAAACAAAAGTGAAACAGACAAAAGTAAATAAGTAAAAGTATAAACAAAATTATATGGCCAACATGAAGAACTGCAAAGAGCAAAACAGCATAAATAGTAAAAATAAATGTATAAATATTTTGTGTGTCGTTAATCTAAGCTGATGTTAATAATGTAGGTAAGAAGCTTGTTTATTTTTAAAAATTGTTTTTTAACCAATGTACCGATGTAGTGTGTCTTAAATTGGTATTTGAAAATGTGTGTTCTTGCTTGTTTTCTTGGGCTTTCTCTCGCAAATATAAATTATAATTTTTTTTAAAAAAAATTGGTAATACAGTTAAAACAAAAAGAAATGTTTCTTAAAGCCAATCTCTGGAATTTACAAAACATAGGGTATGTCTACACTGCAAAGTTAATTTGAAGTAACAGCCGTTATTTCAAATTAACTTTAATAGCGTCTACACATGCAAACCGCTATTTCAAATTAAATTTGAAATAGCGGAGCCCTTAATTTGAATTTGGTAAACCTCATTCTACGAGGAATAATGCCAAATTCAAAGTAGCCCAGGGGCTGCTCTGGCTCCATATGGCTGAGTGCTGTGGTGTGCCCAGTGTGGGTACTCCAGGCAATCCAAGCCAGGACTGCTTTGCAAGCGGGAACTGTCTGTCCGGGGCGGGGATAGGGTTCCTTTAAGCACGGAGCTCAGTTAGCCTCAGGCAGCAGACCCACACACTTAAGTCCTAACCTGATGCCCTGCCGGCACCGGTTCTGGCCAGCTTTAACTTCAGTTCAGGATCCACTCAGTGTGGATGTGCTATTTCGAAATAGTTTTTGTGTATAGATGCGTTATTTTGAATTAGCTTAATTTGAATTAACTATTTCGAATTAAGTTAATTCGAAATAGCACTGTAGTGTAGACATACCCATATAGACAAATAGTTTAAAAGAACTGGATAATGGAAGAATCAAATTTTACTTTTGAAATTCTTCTGATTAAAACAGGAAAACTAAATGTGTTTTTAATTTGGAGTGTCAACTTAGCCACCTGTGGGTTTCAAAAAAAAAAAAAAAAGGGAGAGTATTTAATTGTTGGGTTATATGTGGCAGCTGGAGCTGTTTCACTTTCCTCTGAAACATTAAGAATCTTACAGGAATCTTCTTCTGAAAAGATTAATAAAATCACAAGTCTGAAGCAGTGGCCACAACTTTGTAGGACCTTCTGAAAACTCTATGTGCTGGTTTTACTGCTGAGCAGCAGCAATCTAACAAGCTTTCTATTAACAACTCTGCATTCTTACAGAGAATATTGGTGACACTTTACTTAGAAGTAACTATAAAGGAGCCATGTTGCCTGCAGACGACATTCAATATAAAATGTGGTGTTTTGCTATGCAGAGAAGAAGAATATGGCATGGATGGAGAAAGAAATGCTATAGATTCTAAGAAGCAAGAGCCCATGTATAATTCAGCCACATAAACTAGAATCTATGCTCTAATTAAAAAAAAAAAAAAGTTGTGAAGAAAATTTTTGAATGTGAATTCAGTGTAAATGATGTCTAAGTCTGCAAATAGTTTGAAGGTATGAAGGTTCTAAAAAATATGAACTTCCCCCAATTCATTTTGCTGATGTGAGGAAAGAAGAATTCCATATCCCTATCCGAAAATTCATGTCACCTCTGCTGTGTCCAGTAGGAAAAGGGATGCATTTTTTACATTACCAAAAGCCTAAACTGCCTACTTGTAACCAAAAGCAAAGCCTCCTATGTTTTTCCAGGTCCTAGAAGACCAAACGGTTGATCACCAATCTGCTGAATATCCAGCTTCCCTTGATAATCTCTATCATGCAGGTACTCACTGTTGATGCAGAAATGTTCAGCATTTTGTAAGCAATATTTCATCATCATCAACAGCCATGGGCTCAGTGCCCATTGGTGTCCAATGCCTCCCTCACTTTGGGTCATATTAAACTGAATTTAGTAACAAGAATGCTATGCTCCAGTGAGGGGAGAATTGGCAGGGGGAAGGGGTTTAGTGCTACATTACTCTGGAGGTTCTGATGAATAATTCAGGCCTAATGTGCTGCATAAGTCACAAGGGATATGGCTACTTGTTTAAAAATATTAAAGTAAGCTCATAAGTACAACAATTAGAGTTCCTTTTCCTTCACTTGTCCCCACTCCCTGCCACAAAATGAATTTTTCCATAATATTCAATGAAGTGTCATGGTAAGCTGCCCCAAACACCAGCCCCAAAGAAGGGCAACCGACTGAAAGGGTATTTGTAATTGAACTGCCACTGATGCCTATATCAGGATCTGCTAGTATGCATTTCTGCACAGCTGCAGAGTCCTATCCTAGTCAGTAGGACTTCCCATGGATCCGAGGGATGCGAAAGGTTAACTAGTAACCAGTGGGGCTGAAGCATCTCCCTGTCTGCACACACAGCAGCTGCTCTTGTCCGGAGCAGCCTCTGTCCACAGAGAGCCCAGCTAACAGGGACTGCTCTGGGAGGGGTTGGGAGCCGGCAGCCAGCTGCAGCATGGGACTGGGAGTGGGAGCCCCACAGGCTAGGGTCTGTTTGAGCTGGGCTGAAGCGGTCCCCATGCCCAGATCCCACTTAAATGGTTAATCAGTTAAACATTAGGCTAACCCAACATTTAACTGATTAACCCAGATTTTACATCCCTAATGGATACCGAGGTCTGGAAGAATCTAGAAGCACACTGGTCCCTAACTTTTAGATAAATAAACTATGTATCAGAATTGGCAG